ATTCCGTCACGTTGTCACCCTCTTTTATATGCCAGACTACCCTATATCTAGTAAATGCTAGAGCATTCGCCAAGGTACAGGATAGTTCTAGAAACGTGGCGTGACACTAGTCATGTGACTTTGCTGACGCAACAATATATATATATATACACAATATAAGTGTATGTAAAGAGAAATATACAACTTATTCCTCACAATTTCTTATGAAATCCTCTACACAAATTGAATAGTAATCTGCTTTTCAATCAAACAAATCTTACACAGTAGATAAATACTGCTGCATGTTTTATATTAAGGAAAGAGGAGAAATAAAAAATTCTCTCCTGTAAATAACCTAATATTTGAAACAAGTGTTGCCTTATCACATCAACTTTGAGTTATTGAACCTGAATAGAAATAATAAATATGAAGAAAACAAGAAAGATATGTTTTTGTGTAAGTTTTCAACACAACTCTTTCAGGAGGGTAACAAGTATTAATTTTAACAATTTTTCCTTCATCTAGTTCCTCGTGATTTGTTTGTTTGTAGTTAGGCACAAAGCTACACAATGAGTTATCTGTGCTGTGCCCACCAAAGATATCGAAACCCGGTTTCTAGCATTATAAGTCTGCAGACTTACCACTGTGGGGCACCATGTGCAACAACAAAATATAATAATGTTTTTCCCTATAATTTGTGCAACACATTGTCCAAAGTAAATAACAGATTTACATAGGTATCTTTGAATTAAAGATGTCTACAAAGCTCACCTGCTGTGCGTGTTGTACACATTCTAGTATTCTATCTCTAAAAATACTACTGGCTGTGGTATTTTCATCAAGGTCCGGAAACTTTTCTGCAATTTTTGAAGTTATTTGTGGTTTCAAGAAGTTTTCCACAAATTCTGGGTTCCATCTTCCATGAGTCCTACCAGATAAACAGATGGCAATAACTGATATTACTTTATGCCCAATTAAACACTACACTAAGTTTACAAAGGTTTAGTCTTAAGTTAGTTATTAATGCCCCTAAGCACGAGTAAATATTTATTCTTATTCAAGTTCTAAACAATAGTGACTTTTGTCACTTAGTTATATCCACCCCCTTCATTTTTAGAAGTGAAGCATAGGTGAGATCCAGTTTATTAATACTAGTAAATATATACACACTCTTATACATGTTGCGTATGCTAGTATGTCAGCAAGCCCTCCACTTCCCTGAACTACCAACACAGGGCAGTGGTTCAGTAGATGCTGCAGGATAATATGCACACATTCGTACCCTCCTTGAACCAGTAATGCTATCACAGGAACCTTTGAGCCTTCCACCTGACACTTGTAATCATGTGTTTCTGAATTCAAAGTAACATAGTCTTTATACTGATTAATATATATTAGATGCATACACATCTTTTTATACATTTCCTATTCAACTGCTGAAGAAATTGTTGGAATACGTTATAGATAATTCAACTTTAAAAATTAACTTTTACAAGACACTCGTTTTAAAACTTCTTTCTGTTTTTTTTATTTCATTTTAAACTTTAATGTATCAAAAAAATCATAGATTAAAATAATGGTATTGTAAATATTCACTATATACACGTGTATAAGTAAACGTGGTACCAGACTAAACTATATTTATTTGTGATAGCGTATACACACATTAGACTGAGTTCTCTGAAAAGGGTTTATGTTAAAAATTATTTTGTTAACCACATAATCTTACAGGATTTAAAAAGTGAAGAGAAACAGAATATTCCTTTAACACAAACTAAAATCAAATGAAGTCTGTGGAAAAACAATTAGTATAACAAGATGTATTTCTTATATTCACATACAATTTATGTGTACATAAATACACAGATCAAATTCCTATAGAATAAAAGTACACTCTATCTTAGAATCGCTGCTACATAAATGAGCAACATATAACACATCTCCTGCTAGAGTTACACATATGCAAATACACAACACATATACTTTAACATATATAAATATAAAAAAAAGCTATAAACTTATGTATTATTAATAACTGTTTTATGTTAGTAATTCTAAACTTTGTGTAGCTGTTCTTAAAACCTTGGGGAAGAACAAACCTAATGAAATGATTACATAACTTAAAAATCTTTTCAATACCCTCCATTCTCCAGCACGTCACTGTTCACCACATATTGCCAAGATATTGGAAAACTTTATATTGGATTGGCAGAAAATTAAAAATATATATAATTTGTTTCTAAACACTATTTAAATCAGGCTTAATTGGATGCCCAATTTCCCATTAATAACTTACAATGCAGGTGAGGAGTAAATTAGTTTAATTTCATGTAATTTTGTGATCATATATAGGTCAAATACATTACTACGTTGGGTAATAAATATAATAAACACTAGAATGTGAATGAAAAATTTTGCACTATGTATTTTAGTTTAATTTGTAAACTGCATAAGCAGCACTGGTATATATTATATACTACGCAGCATTAAGCCCAGCATCTCACTCAGTTTTTTTCAGGAATCCCTCATTTCTCCCAGACATTTTTAATTTCTAATCTGCCCTGTCCATGTACTAGTCTGTGACCCCAAATGCAAAGAAATAACTGTAGGTCATAGCATTCTTCTAGAGAAGATAAACATTATTTCAATATTTTTAAAGTCTAGAATTTTTTTTAGTGTATTTTAGTTAATTTAGTTGGAATAGGGCACTTTTAGGTTTCATTACTACATGTACAGCTAAGCCTAAAGTTACAACAGTAGACTTAATACTAGACCATTGGTCATTTTTAGGTAACCACTACTACTACTACACCTTTACTCTATTAAAAACAGCCTCAAATTTCTCCTCCAATCTACAAACTATACATGCAAATTGTACAACTTCAATGTTAACTTGTTTAAATGTACCTGTCAGCCCCAAATTCCCTAATAAAACTCACTTCTTGCACCTGCTGCACCTAATAAACTGTGAGCACTTAACGCTTACACTACTTTTAACCATAGTAGCCTGGGAATACATAAACAGCACTAAATACAAGTACAGCAGAGTTAAGCTTCATGTTAGAATTAAGTATGTTAGTGTTTTATCACTACGTTATCTCTTTACTAATCTAACTGTGTTTGTCTTTAAAATGAAAAGTGGCAAGAACTTGCCTTTTAATTAGTTTTGTTATAATGCAATTTATTTATCTTGTTTTATAACTTACCAATAGCTGAATAAGCTTAAATTTTAGCTAAAAAATCACATCAGTCACTGTAAATTAAATAGTATTAAACTAGCCGTAGATAGATGTTCCACCGACTCCTCTATTAACCAGTACTTATCCCTTCAATTCTCACCATATACAACAGTTATCGAATTACACACACTAAATCTTACTTTAAACAATTTACTAATATAATAAGTTCTCAGCAGTTATCAAGAAATAATAAATTTAATCTTTTAAGTTAAACAAATTCTCCTTTTTGCTTAGCTAATACTAGATGGAAAATGAGAATGGCAAATTGCAAAAGGTGGCAGCAGGATTTAGAGGACAATGAACTTTTGTATGCAAGGGTATTGGGACTAGTGATGACTTTCGGGAGGTTGGAAGTATAACAAATGGTAAAGATAGAGATGGGAATGAAAAACAGAAGGATGTTATTGTTATACAAGTTTCTTTAGTATGTCACATGAATAAGATAGTCTGTGGAGTAAATAGGGAGAAAAGAGTTAGATTATGCTATCTAGGGGCTAGATTATCACTATTAAAAGTAACCTAAATTATTTTTTATCCGGGTGTTAATTTCCTTAAATATATCTTATTAGTTGTTCAAGGATATGCAATTGTCAACAAAATTATTAAAAAATCAATAGTTCTTAGTTACTTGAAAAAAAGGAGCTTTACAATCAATCACCAATATGACTGATAATACAAAAATGTTTACATTTATATCTAAATTGTTTGTTTTAAAAATTAAATTACTATACCAGCTTCTCCCTCTAATTCCATTTCTGTTACTTTCTCAGTATCAATAATGTACTGCTCTAAACGAAACAAGAAGTGGTGAATGCCTCTTTTAGCAACGGTGTCATCTCTAACAATTATAAAATGTGAATGGTCTGGATTCAGCTCATATTTGTTTTCTTCTGGTAGGTTTCCATCATTTTCAATTTCCACACGTCCAAGCTCATAAAAAAGTTTTGAGTGGAAAAAGCTTTATTTATACTAAAATTTTTGTCATCAAAAGTTTGTGATAAATATAAGTTATGTACTACAGTTCAATGAACTAAAAGGCTTAAAAGTCTAAATATTTAAATTAGTTGCAAAGAGGCAACCAGAAAAACAAAACAACTATTTCATGCCAAAATAGTATAGTATGATATACACATAGCTCCTTTATATTAAAATCTTAACTGGTTCAGTAAAACATCACACATCCATAACTTCATATATTATTTGTTTATTCACATCTAATCTAGGGTATACCAACAACTCTTACATCCTACTGCTGTTATTTTAACTATGAAGAAAACAGTAAAAAGTCTTCTGTATGTTTATACATAATATATCTTCTTTTTTTTTCTGTGACAGTCTGTATTGCTTTTATTCAATAGTCTTCCATTTAAATAGTACTGAGAACAAGTGACAGCAGTTACATCTTAACAGTTCCAGTAAATCTTAACCATACAACACAATTACACTGACTTCCCTCTTTATTACACCTGATTAAACATGTGCAAAAAGTCAGAATAACTAGGACAGCTATACAAGGTATAATATAAAAAAAACAAGTTATATGAAAGGAAAAAAAAACATGTAAAGATGTAACATAAATATGGATAAATTAAACAAGAAGAAACTGGGGAAAATGTGACCAGGTTTTTCCCAAATATATTTCTTGTTTAATTTACCCACTTTTATGTTACATCTTTAAAGGGTTATCTTTTTTTTATATGACAACTTTTTATGGTTAGCCTGGTGTTTTTATTAGGTACCACCATTTTTTGTTTTGACTATTTTAAAATCAATTACAAATACGATTCCACCTAAAGTGAAATTTCAGCCCTAGCTGTCAGGGAAGGTTATTAACAGAGCTCTGTACAATTGTAAATTTTCCACATGCCCCTAGGCTATTAACATAAGTTTTAACATAGTGGGTGTGGTTAGCAGTTGACCATAAAAATATTAGTATATAAGCTACAGTTGTCAGACCCTAGTTCAGATTGATATCTGCCATTAGACTTTTATGTTAATCCTCTTTTGTTTACTATATGTTTTGCCACTTCAACAAGAAGTGGGAGAACAATAATGTTACCACTATTTACTACTGTTTTTAATATTACATAAGAGTGTTAATATATATATATATAGTGTCACAGCAGTGTTACTCCAACCTCCCAACTTGGCTGGAGTCACTATCATGCCTCTTAAAGTTAATAAACTGTTCGTTTCTGCTTCAATTTTAAGTGTTTTTGAGATCTATTATAAGGAACATACAATATTAAGATATGCAAATTAATATATTGTTGAGAAAAATTAAAAAATAGTCACAGCTTGTTGTAATACTCTGTTCCTGTTTAATAGACTATTTCTAGTAGAAATGTCCCTCATATAATATGGTAACGATTAGGGCTTAGCAATGTATTACAAATGTTAGATTAGGCTTAGTGAGAGTAATGCAACTTTATCTATACGATTAATACTTGAAACCGTCAGTACTTGGTGAAACTCCATAATTACAGAAAAAACAGAACAATTGTACATTTATGCAAGTAGGAACTTACTTCTGAAACACAGTTTTCCTCCTGTTGAGTAGAACTCACTATGTGTACTCAACAAGAAAGGGAAACTATGTTTCAGAAGAGATAAGTCTGTCTGTTAATTTTGAAATATATACATACACACATCTTATTTTTAACTCATATCTCCTCACTAAAAACCATCATTCAATGAACATAATATTTTTAATTACTTGACATTAGTGGGCAGATTAACTATTTTCCTTCATAATAAATATTAAATGAAATATAATTTGGTTTTGAAAACTCACTACTTGCTTATTTTTTAAATAAGAGGTCTATTAAACCGTTATTATCAAATTGTTTTACTACCACATGACTAAATAGTGCATACATGGGAAGTACTGCTATTTCAAAATAGTTTGGTACCAATAAGAAATGGTTTAAACTTTCTACTTGAATATGTATGTAATAACAAAATACTTAAATTGGTGAAACTGTGAGGCTCTTGTAACCTAACAAATGTGATTAAAAAACATGTTTTCCCAAAAATTGTTTTCAAGTTTTCTCTGGGCAATATTCCATATTATCCAGAGATCGAAATATTACATTCCAGCATTCCTGAGGAATTTAACTTTGCTTGGGAAATTTTATCTTTTTAGTTGGCTTTCCCAATCAAGAACGTATGGTCCATCCATAATCCTTTAGTTATGACCAATGAAAGTGAACATATTGTACAGATTAAATATAAAAAAAACAATTCATGAGGAAATGCAACTTTACATGAAGAAATGTAATCTTCCTGATAGCTTTCCCTCGAGTGAACGTAATTATATTTCATTATTTCTATCCCTGTTATCATAAATGTTTTGTGAGGTTAGAATGATAACTATAACACAACCACTTTTGGTTTCACATGCAATTATATATATATATATAATGCACATTAAAATGTCACTTTAGCTAATTCTTTGCAGTATCTCAAGAGTTCAGGTTACAACTGATTCCACCTGTTACAAATAGTAACCTTCATTGTTACAAGAGTACCGATGTAGGTTAAAAGTAATGCTTATCTTAAACATATGCAAACAAATAGTAGTTGTGGTACAACTTATTCTTCAAACAGCTAAATATCAAACAGTATTGTAAAACTATCAGATGGTTACAGCTGATAATAAGCTAAATACCTACAGTATCATAGAAGTAACAGCTGGAATCAATGCTTAGAACAATTACTTGCAGTAAAATAAACATTTAGATTGTACAACACATGCTTTTCTAAGTACGTTCAGTATATCTTACTATGACCCTTTGTAGGATAGCAGAAGTAAAAACAGAACTTCAGACTAAAACTGATGCTTGACTAATTATTTACAGTATCAGAGGAGTGGCTAATAGCAGAAGAGTAAAAGGAGTTTAGTTAGAGCTAAGTTCGGCTAGATATACATAATAAATAGCTGTAGTAAAACAGAAGTTTAGGTTATAACTGATTTTTATCTGAACATTCACTATTATAGGTTCAGGCTAGATACTTGGCTAATAGCAGAAGAGTAAAAGGAGTTTAGTTAGAGCTAAGTTTGGCTAGATATCCTCAGTATCAAAAGGGTTTAAGTTACAATGAATGATCAGCTAAAATACCTACAGTGCCACAGAAGTTAATAGTAGCATTAAAGTTGAGCAATATCACAGTAATTTAGATCAGAGCTAATGAGCTTAAAAAACTTCCTAAAGTTAATAATAATCACAGGAGTATCAGTTTCTAACAGTGCGGTTTATAATGGAGCTTTACTCACATTATTAAGGATCTCTGCATACTCAACTAAGTCTTCCCTAATAATACCAATAACTGCATAAGATGTTGAAACAGGCATAGACTGACCAAGATGCTTGTGACAAAAGGACGACTGACCAAGTTGGAGTGCTTTATGAAAAGCATCTCCAATAGCTTTGGCTATTCCAATGTTGGCTCCATGAGTCACAATCCACATTCTTGTTGTATTAGCTGCCTAAAAGAAAAAAATATTAGACTTTATTTTTTCTACACATATACATTCTGTAAGAATTTTTTTTCACTTGTGGCACTTAAATTTGTAACTTTTAGCCCAAATTCACCGAACATTGGGTACAATAGTTTTTAGTTTGTATGTTGTTGAGAATCATTCTATTATTGATTTGTGAATACTTGACTGAATTATAACCCTATTTATAAATGTGTTGGAGAACCACTGTAGTATGCAAATACTATATATCTTACATTTCTACAGCATACATTTCCTATTTGTAAAACTTTTAACTTTTTCTAAGTTCTACTTTTGGAGCATACTAAATCCACTTGAGATTGTGAGAAAAATCCTGAGGTGTTCTTTTTGTACCCTTGCCAGTTAAGTAACTTATCTACTGTTTCATGGGATAGTTGCACTGTGTTCTGCTTGACCTTGCATTTAAGAGACAACTTGCAACAGCCACACGAAGCCTTCTACATTTCTGTACCTCTTGTCTGATTGATTAGTTACAAACGAAGAATGTGCATTATGTATCATATTCATTTCAACTTTTGAGAAGGGCAGTATGTTTTTTGATTTGAGATAATCAGAATTTGTTCTGAAAGTCAAATCCTTGTCTCATCTTATTTCTAGCTAGTGATCAAATACATTTTAACCTCATTTTGATTTGAAGTTTATTAAGGTTTATCTTACTTTAATTTTGTCTTCTCAACTATTGTATCTGGAGAGTTAAACCTGATAAAGACCAGCTAGAAATTTTGCAAATTTCAGACCCTGTTAAAGACTATAAAGTTCACAAAAAAATGTGTGACATACAAAAGCTCTAAAAAAATATTACTAAAATTAGTCCAATATATAAAACTGGAAACATACCATAACTAAACCCTTAAGCAAATCATCCAGTCTGCTGGTGTTCTTGCATCCACTGAGAGATTTGATGTTAGAAACCACAACTAAAACAATTCCAGGACTAAAAAGTTTCCATTCTTTATGTATCACCTCTCCAATACCTTCCATCTGAACATCATGGTTAACTTGAATGAATGGTCGACCCTATAAAAAGCATTAGTTGAGTACATGTGTATATATAATGTGCATTATTTAACCAACGTATCTTTGTGTTATTCATTTAGGTGAAACTTACACAATAATCCTGGATTAATGGAAACATTTGTTTAGTGTTCACTACCAGAAAGAATATAAAATTGTTTTATTGTGTTACAAAATACATTTTTGATAACTGATAAACTTATGTGGAAGAAAGTAACAAGGTAAAATAATACATATTTACAAATATTGTTGATGTCACAATCAATTAACTACAAAGTTCTACATTTATTGAAGTTGAAACTAGACCATTCACAGAATAACTGCTAAGAACTCCAACAGACTGTCAGTGATCCATTAGGATACAGGATAAATAAGAAATACCATCTAAAATAAAAAATGACTGTTACAATCTAATTCTTTTTATCAATGCATAAATATTCTGCAATACTTAAATATGAACATATAAGTGTCTAAATAACATACATTTACAGCCACTGTATGTCCATTTTATATATTTCAATTAAGCTTGTTATCACATACACGTTTAAGGTGTTTAAAACAAAATTCTTACAAACATTATTTTTGCTAAGCCATAAGTTTACTTCCATAAACTACATACATATGTATTATCCATGCTTTGTTGTAAGATGTTTATTAATGACAAACTATATGTGTCTATAAATTACTGGCTTAACCAGAACAATAATAATCACAAGTCTTTAATTTTTATATGTCATCATGTGCTGGATTTTTTCAAAGACAATCAGTTTTGATTTTTGTACAGGAAAATTTACTTGCATATATAGCAAAATTTATCAAACAGGTAATGTTTATTCATAAATAAATTTTTTATCTATAGATACATGTATATATATATATATGAATATATATTTTGTTTGTACAAAATTTTTAAAAATAACTCTCTAGGTAAAGAAATGCTGTTCAGTTATATTTTCTTGCCTTTAGATATCAAAATCAATGCTTAAGTTATCTCTACAGACAAACATGTATACACACACATACACAGAGACTTCATCAAATCAAACAAACTGCAAAGTAGCTTTACACATTATAATTCTTAGATAAATATATTTCAGAATAAAATTTACTTCCAGTTTATAAATATTTATGATTTTAACTTCTAAATGGTTCTCAGGCATAAATTATCATTTTATTGCTCAAAGAAAATGTGTTCAAAGCTAGGTTCAGAAAATCAATATAGACCCCACATGAACATCAACACATATTCTTATTTATTAACTCACCTCTTCCTCATAAGCAAAATTTCTCCAAAAATGAATAAAACCTTTCCTAAGTTTTCCTGTATCTGTGAACTCATTGGTGTGTCCTAACAGTTCTTGACAGTTTAGTTGTGATTCTTCAAATTCTTGGGTTTCAGCCATCTATATAAAAATATATTTTTTAAAACAGTGCTCACAAACTAGTATCCTTTACACAAGGATAAATTCCTAGATTGAAAAATCTTTAATTCAGATTGTCTTAGTATACTATTTTGAAACTCTGCTACAGGACTTGTAAAACTTGTCATTAGGATAGAATTTTACCCTCAACACCCAACCCTCTTTATGAAAAACTGGATAAGGAGAAGTGTGGATGGATCCTTGGAGTCTATTGATTAAGCAAAGCATGAGGTAAGACACATTTACTGGCCAGTCCACTTTTAGTCTTTAAACTAATGAATATTATAAATTGTGTTTGATTTACAAAACTGAACTAGAAAAATGCAAGTTTACCAAAACGAAAATCACCCATTAGTCATGCTGTAAGATGTACTGTTTAAACTCAACTTAAACCTGTACCATTCCTACGTGTGTATTTCCATTCTGTACGTACTAATGTAGTAATGGACGATTTCAAGATTTCTTATCCATTTTGTGGAGGATAATATTAATACTGAGCAATTTCAAATATTGACTTCAAAACAGAGGTGCTCATTTTGTGCTAAAATTACACCTAAAGAAAAAAAAACACCTGTAACCTTTTGGGTATACAGTTGCACTTACCCAGATAATGAAACTCGTAACCATCCACGACATATTCATGTTATGTCTTTACAATTTGTTGAACCCACGAAACGGTATCATTCTCGGTAATGATTTTATGAGAATTTATTGTACAGCGTTTCATCTAATCAGATTGATATGTTATAATAAGCTGAAAGTAAGATGACTGATGTCCAAGTTAAACTTCAAGAGGCCGACTCACTCCGACACTTTTTACTTTGTCCTTGATCTAGAATACGGCCAGCATCCTTTTCGTGGTTCCAGCGCTAGCGAAATACCAACTTGCAATCCCGGTGGGTGCATTTGTGTGCACCCAAAGAGTTTCCATCTGTTGGCCTGAAAATAAACGTCTGCGAACCGCTCATACGAAGTCTTGGATTCTTTAGCATTTTAATTAATGAAAGCCCAAAAAGGTTCACCTGCACTGACATACTACACGGTTTACAACATTATACCAAATGTAGCTAGTGTCCAAAATGTAAGTGCTCTACTCATACGTTCAATTCGCATGTTTTCGTTTTTTTTCAAATATAATACATTTCATAAGTTCACAATTTCATATATTTATTTGTATTAACGGCGTCACGATTACTCGTATAACCAGTTACAATCCGCTTCGAGGCTTAGGTTTGTTTTGAATTTCGCGCAAAGCTGCACGAGGGTTATCTGCGCTAGCCGTCCTTAATTTACAAGTGAAAAACTAGATGGAAGGCAGCTCTAGTCATCGCCACCCACCGCCAACTCTTGAAGGGGCTACTCTTCAATCAACGAATAGTGAGACTAACCGTCAAATTATAACGCCCACACGGTTGAAAGAACGAGCATGTTCGGTGGGACGGGGATTCGAACCCGCTACTCTCAGAATGCGAGTCCAGTGCCTATAACCACCTGGCCATGCTAAGCGAAGTTTAAGGCCTCAACCGATTCAAAATATTCCTAACCGTGACTCGAAGTCGTTATTTTATACGTTTGTTTTATTCTGCACATGAAATGCGTTTGTTGTTACACTTCGCTCGCTTGAACGCTCAGTTATATGACAAGAGAGAAAATAGTTTACAGGAAAATTTAGAACATTAGATGTTTTACACTTCACAGTACCGAAGGAAACGCGTGTACAGAGAAAGCGCGAGGATTTACTTCCTGTATGATTGTAACTTACAAAACTTAGCAGTGAAAGTAAAGAAGAATGTATTAATATACCAATCACGCAAATTCTCCTACATCCAATGCGAACGAGGCCTTTCGTCCAGTACTAGGGCTTATTAGGTCGGCTGGGATATGACAGACAAAGAAGTGGTATCTAATTTATATCATCAATTATTTGAATAACACGTAGAAGCCGAGTCTAAAATATGTCCGCTTTTCTTAGTTATTTCATGTAGTTTTTTTCTGAAACATAGAGTGATTTAATCATCTATTCGCTCAAAACTCAACATAAAAGAAAATGCGGATTTAATTTAATCCTTTGATTTGTGTTAGCTCCACAGCGTCATATAAATAATATTTTAAACTTTCGTATCTCTAGTAGTTAGGGCACTCGACTCACAATATGAGGGTTGCAGGTTCGCATCACGTCCCCAAATATGCTCATCCTTTTACCCGTGGGGGTATTATATTATGTCGGTCAAACCCAAAATTGGCAGTAGGTAATAAAGCCTAACTGCCTTCCCTCTAGTCTAGGGACGGCTAGTGCAGATATCCCTCGCGTAGCTTTGCGCGAAATTCAAATAATCATTACTAGTTTTAATGGTTATATATCCTGTGTCCCTTTTTAGCGTTGTATTGTATTTCTTTTTTATCCTATTTCTTAATTATTGTTATTTTTGCACTGTCACAATAAAAATACATCGAAAAAAAAAGCTCTTCGGACTGTTAAGCACTTTAATTAACCTATTATTTTATTTCTATTTGAATATTTCTACTCATAACTTGTACCGTTCTATTAACCCGTGATTAATTTTACCTTATTCTAATTTTGTTCCACGCAGTGAATGAATTTATTATGGGATATACTGTTTGCTACTTTATGTCACTATTATGTGCAACTTATTTCACTGTATATACATTAGGTAACAAAGTGTATTTTGCTAAGCCTACTTGGAAACGTTGGAAGTCACCTTGGAAAGGTGTCAGACAAATCAATTTTTAATATTAATAAATCGAGGAGGAACAAAGGGGTTCCATCTCGTTACGAGTTTACACCCTAATAATACATTTTTACTTTAAATTTTCATATTTAATTCCATAACTCCATAATATATATATATATATTTGCTCCAGCAAAAGTTAAATACAATAAATCATTTATTTTATACAATATACGTGTTCACTTTTTAGTAGTATATTCCAGCATTATTTTATCATATTCAAGATGTATCTTTCATAGGAGCCTGCCTACACGACTGGTAGAATCATGAGAATGCATATATCGTAGGATGTACAGAATTTTTTTTTAAAATCTATAATATTTCCCTAATTCTGAGTAACATGTTTTACAAGATCTTGGTATGACTATAAAGAATCCCATAGGATCTTATAAAAGATCCTGTCCACGATTTTAAAGATGGAAGGTATACAATACGTAACAGGTATAATATGACACAAAACAGTAATCTGTATACCACAATACAATTAACGCACTACACCGAATGACATTACAACAATGTACAATTGGTTAAAGCCATCGAGATCTGTGATTACCACATTGCGCTACACCAGTGGTCGGCAATCTATGACCAGCGGCAATGATCTGACTGACCCACCAAAAGTTGGCTTCACCGTTTCAACCCGCGAGGACACAATCATTGCTCACGTCAAATTTCTCGGCTATGTGAGAAGTACAAAGATTTTAAAGGAAAGAGTCACGGCTACAGAGAATTTTAAGATCAATTTTTGAGGAAAATATTCAAGCTGGTCAAAATATAAATTTTGTTTGCTGTATGTATATAAACATACACATTTAAATACATTACCGGTATTAAGAATTATATGACTATCACTGACCCAACACAAAAAAAAAAACTGACCCGCGATGAAAAAAGGTTGCCGCTACAGTATACCATTAAACTGTACTGTAATATATTATGTTATACAATACAATAAACTATGACATTGTTGATATTAATATGATGCACGTTTAACGTAAAATATTAAACTAGAAACACCGGTGCAAAAAAATCCGTCAAAACACCGACATGTCATAACTAAAATATTAAATTACCTTAGCATAGATCTACATATAATATTTACATTTTTATTTCCTCACGAACTGCATGGCTTCGCACACATTTATTAAATTTTCATCATATAATATTTAATGTATTCAATTTATTTGTAAACCGATATTACAATACCCATAGCAATGCATAAAGTTATAAAAATACGGTATTTTCTTATTCTTAACTAACATTTTCTTTATATCTGAATAGGCCTACATTTTACTTGCTACGGTACAGCAAAAGTAAATTGTCATTAACGTTTATTTTTTAAATTTAAAACATTTTTACAGTTATAAAATATGCATACCATACCCATTGTAATGTTACGTCCATAGTACAAGTCTGACTTAAATTGTAGAAGTTTACTTCGGTGAGAATATCATCTCGTTAGAGATTTACTTTGTTATACTTGTATATAGCAACCGAGTCATAACAGTGTGTGTAGTGTGTTATTGGATATCTATATTAAGATTTCAGAGGGAATATTAAAAGAAATAGTACAAGTTATTTGAAAAAAAAAATCATCATTTCCGATTTTTCAAAGAAGGATTACCTTTACAATTATATTTTAACTGAACTTTGTTAATGAAAAGTTAAAAACTGGAGATTACTATTTGAGAATATACTGTATAGTATATGTAAATCTAACAAAGTCAAATGAACGAATTATTCAAACGATCAGTTGTTCTGTGACCGTTTCAACCCATCATTGAAGCACTGTTAACGATCTCTCCACTTCTGGCAGTTTGGAGGAGTCCTGTTTGGGTATTTTCAGTCCATGTGGCGATGTTCTCTTGCCATGTTGTCCTGGAATGACCTTTCTTTCGTCCACTAAACTTTGTAGAATGGAGTTAATCAGACCTTTAGCTTTTGTTACATAATCTATCCATGTTACAGAAATGAGACGTTAACGCAGGTTCCTATAGATCGTACACTAGGCAAATGATTGGGTCCAAACAGAATTAGTAGCAATTGGAAAATTTGAGAACTTTTTAGCTACTGTAAAAAAACGCCAGATGGCCTTTTATCGGTTTCAAGTCCAGGTTTTGCATCCATATAAGGACCATGGAGAAGACTAGTGTGATGAGAAGATTGATCTTAAACTTTATGGGGATCCTTTTGCTTATTAAAATCCTGAAGAATTTCGCGAAAGTTGCAGTTGCGATGACGATTCTTGTTTTAACTTCTGTGTCCGATCTTCCTTCCTTCTACCAGCATAGTGGCTACAAGTACTTGAAGAAGTCCACGCTTGTGAATTATGATAAAATATAACTAATTCATGACACAATGCACATAAGTAACAGAGAAAAAATAAATCTATTCCACAATTCGCTAATGTGTATTCTACCGTAGTTACGATTCAAGACGTGCTTTGGTTCAAAAATCTTGATTTTTATGGCTTCCTTTGTTCCCCACCTTTGTAATGATTCATTAATTTTCAAAAACCTCAATTTTATCCGATTAAATTTCTTCTTCAGAATTAAACTGGTGTTCAGCAACAGCTGATTTTGCCTCATCACAAAATGAAGTAGGTGTTCTTTTGTGTTAATTAGTGCAAACCTGGGGATTATTAGCTTGTTTAGTGAATATCCCGCAAAGCTAGTTTCGATCCCGCGACACGTAGATTGTGAGTAGAATACCCAATTCTAACAGGCCATGAACGTGAATAGGTAGGCTGATTTTACTAAAATACTGTTGCCCACATTTACATTTTATGTTACAAATAACACTTCATTGTTTAAATGTAGGTATCAGATTTTGGTCTTTGTTAAAAGTTCTCTTAAAGTACTGTCCTTTTCAAAGATAACAAGAACACCATATTTTCAATATATATGACGTCAGAAAAACACGTAGGTTCGAGAAGTCTTGAGAGAAATGAATAAAAACCCGAGCGCTTTCGAAAGGTGGACCTTTCTTCTTCAGGGGCAAACTGTGAATTTTCAATATATATATTAAAGATTAGGTCGAAGCTCTACAAGAAAGAGCACTATTACAGTTGTTGATTAAATTTTCTTTGTTGTTTTACATTATTAATTTGATGATGTTCTTTGTGATATTTGTTATATCAAGGGAACATTTGGTTCTTCAAGGCTGTCATTGTACACCTTCCTATGATAACGGTAATGTTTAATAAATTCGCCCTCATTATTGCCCACTAAGATTTACGTTTCGTAATTTTAGCTGCATTATGTCTCTTATTTATTCTAACAGCAAAGTTCAGAAGATTTTTGACCTCCCAGTATCGGTCGTACAGTAATGTCGATGACTAAACCTGGGGTATATTATTTCGGAATATATTTTTTTTTAAACTTACATTTCAGCACTAAAAGTAAAACACATCAAAACTATTCGAGTAACGTCTTAAATTATACGAAGATACTTTCATGAAAATATCT